CCCTAGTCACCAAAGAGCCGCATTTGGTATGGCATTGGGCTGCTTGCATATATTTATAGATGCCATTAGTTTCACCTCTTCCCGAATGAAATGAAAAAGAAGAGGACAATAAGAGGACAATAAATGATATTTAGCACCTACTGAGCTCGGTAGGGGGATGACATATTTACAATAAACACTGCTTTTCTTGTTCGTCTTCTTTCTTACACAAAGAAACAGTCAGCTGTAATATGGTTATTGGCATTGGTCATTGAAGGGTTAGACGCCCATCGAGTGGCTCTTTTACAGCTATTTGAATCAATAACTACGGAATTTTACAGAGCTGTAGTAAATGGTTGGGGATTATTTGCATATGACTGTCTGCAGTTTAAAAGTCTTGCTGGTAAAGCTACCCTTGTGCTGTTGGCTGCTGCCTACATGACAAAAGGGATGGAAGACCCATTTTCTTAAGTGAGCAGTGTTACACTAGAAGAGAAATAACGTGTGTTAACCTATTAAGTTGTTCAGTATAACTGCATTTGTACTAGAACTTCCAGCTGAAATGTATACGCTGCCCTCAGAAAAAGTTGCAGTCAGTATAGCAAGTATATCTATAGCAAAAAATTTTTGTTGTGTGAGTAAATTCTGCAAAATCTTTTGCAAACTTAGTATTTAAGCATATTTCCTAAAACAGCTAGAATTCTTTAGGAAGGACAAGGGCTTGAGCATGCTTTTGCCAAAGGGAGCCAACGAATACATTCAGATAGTTCTGATTATACAACTTTTATAAGAAAGGGATACTACTTTTTGTTTGTTGCAGAGCTTGGTAGTCACTAAACCTGAAGTCATTAACTGCCTGCAACTCCCCCACTCATCATTTGATTGTAGAAAGAGACAATTTTTCAAATCCTTAACAATTTTTTTAAATCTAGTAGGTGAAAATCATATATTTAAACCATGAATTAAAAATCTATAGGATACTCACTACATAAGGAATTGTCATTGCAGTATATTTCACAGAGGTGATGTGTGTAGGGCTGTATGAAATCAAAGTGTATGTATTTTTATGTACATACATATTTTTTCTCCACACAGGATCACAACACCATTTGGTGATGAGTCATCTGAACAAACAGCCAACGTTGTTATTTTTCAACCATTCAAAAATGTTGGAGTCAAAGGAAACAGGACAGGAATGGCAGGTACTGATAACAGGCTGTGTATCAGTCTTAGAAAAGTATTGCCAGTCTAGACATAAATTATGCCAAAAATGCTAGGTGGTTTTATTATTATGTTATCAGCAATGCCGGTCTTGTGGCCTAACCTCCTCTGAGACCCTTCCTGGAAAACTTCTGTTATGGGCATTTTCTTCTTGTTGTTGTCCCCTTCCATTTCAACACTATGAGGCATATCACTCCATCCTTTGTGTCAGGACAAAGCCAAGGTGATATGCCTGATGACATTCTGAGCCAGGGTATAGACTTGCATAGAAGCTTCTTTGTTTCACAAAACAGAAAAACAGAGAAGTTCTAGTCCTGTGTGCCATCTTGTGATGTAGTCTTTATCATGCAGTCACCATGGACTAAGAAACAAACAGTCTTGGCTTTGAAATAAGATTAGATTGTTTGTGGTTGTTTGTGCTTGTGTCTGTCCTCTCACATCACAACTTCTGAAACTTAGAACACATCTTCAGAAACGTATAAAATATTTATATTATATAGTATATTATATGTATATATATACGGTATATTTCCTTTTTTTTTTTTTTAATGATACCCACTGGATAATGATGAAATATCACTTGTTACCAATTAATTTTTTTTTAATAAGATGTTTAGTTTAAGATACCACTCTTACAAATTGATTCATAAAATCACACCATTAGGCAAGCACAAAACTTGTTGTGAATTAAAGTCTACAAATTAACTCTCATTTTTTTTAGTCCTGTTTGGTCACAAATAATTAAAATAGTCTACAAATTATTCTGATTAAGTTCATGTATAGGCATTATCATTCCAGAACAAGCCAGCTTGTTTTTAACTAAAATGGAATGAGGCACTTCTCTCATCAGAATAGCCCCATATGGAATTAATCAGGAACGTTTCCATGTGTAGAGAAGACTTAATTAACTTTGAATGAGTTTCATTTGCAATAACTTTGCTGCTATGTATCTCTGGCTCTAGATGTATGTATTGGGATGCTAAACTGCTTATAAATTGTGCACTAAGTCTTTGATAAAGTTTTTGCCAGAATGTGATAGTGATTTGTTTTTTCTTTTCAAAAATCTTGTTATATATCGATGTGAAAAAAAATAGAACAAGAATCTATTCCAGTTTGCAGTCAGTATGTTATGCTGTCTATTTTTATGTTACCTGAGTGGCATTTTCTCTTTCTTGAGTACTTGCTTTTTGATTAAAAAAAATTGCATAGCTTACCTGCTTTTATCTATTGGACTAAACTTTCATGCTGTCAGCTTTCACTGCCAGAATGATCAGAATTTTGTTTGTTGATATAAAAGAAGAAAAGATCTCAGCTACAAAACACTATTTTTCAACAGAGCCATCACCATTAGCTGTGCATTTTTGCCAGTGATGGACAAAAGCCTGCATGCCATGCTCATAAAAAATCTCCACCAGTAGAGATGACCCGCTGTCACTGTGTCACCACTGCTGTAACACACTATGCTCTGTGCACTGAGCTCACGTCCGCTGCTTGGTCTCCGGAAACATTCAGCAAAAATGTGACAAATGTCAGTGGGTATAATCTTTTCTGCATGGAGGAATTTAATTCCACACCTTTGCTTCAGACACACCGTTTGTGAGACTGCCCTTCTGCGGCCGTCTGTCACATCGCGATGAAATGTAATGGAGTATTGGTGGGAAGGTTCAATCTCTACTGCCGTACCACCAATATCTGCCTTTGACATCATGGGCCAATGTAATAAAATAATAAGTCACATTTGGAGCAGCCCTTACATATACATAAACATAATATTAAGGAAATTGGAGATTTTTAATGTGTTTGCTACTAAGAAATACAAAATTGATACTTATTTCAGAATGAGCATGCAAGATCCTGGAGCTAAGGCTTGCTATTCTAGATGCACTTCACTTTGCATTTCTGTTGAGTCTGAAAGTGGAAAGAAATGACTAAGCATAGCTTTTGATAAAAAAATAACTTTGCATTTGATTCACTGCAAAGGAATTTTTGTTTTGTGCGTTGAACAGAAAAAATTCACGTGTGTAAGATTGTGCTGATACAAATGACATTCTTTGTACAAAATAGAGAATTTGAGAGAAAATAGTGTAGCTGGCCAATTTAGAAGAAAAATGCAATGAATATATATGTACAGCAATGATGTTCTGGGTAAGCAGGAATTAAATTTGGATCCTGAAACACCAGTGTGGTTGTTAATCACACATTTTACAATTTTTCAGACCTTACAGCACTCTCTATCAAATTCTCAGATATTTGATCTATGAATGTGCTGAAAAAATTGTTTTTCCTTAAATTTATGCAAACTGTTGAGGTATGGACTCAATGTGTATGTAAAATTAAGTAGTAGAACCCTCTTCTCGTGGATTCCTAGGCGACAAAATTCTGCTAAGAATGACTGCTGAATACTGACTTCTTGCCATATGGATTGTTCTGTCGCTCTGATCCCTGTGTGTGACTGGGCCTTGGAGAAAAATCTTGATATCTTGCCAGTGATCTTGATTCATGTTGTTATAATACCAACATCTCAAGCATCAGAAAACATTGTTTGGGTTGGAAGTAATCACTATATAGCTTAACAATTGGAAGCTTGGAAGAGAATCACATTTCAGGAGACTTTTATTGATCTTCTTTCTTGACATTCAATGCTTTGAATTTTTCATCTTCAAACATTTTTCAACAACCGAGAATTGGAACCAAAGTTTCTTCCAAAGCCACATGTTCAAAATAGCATATTGGATCTTCAAAAGTAATTAATTCTTCAGCTACAACATTTTATAAAAATGTTTCAATATATATTTCTGGTCGGGTTTCAACCTTCTGTGCATATGCTTTAGATTTTGGAGGCCTAAAAGCCTAATAATTGGACAGGAATGTGTTCCTTTTTTTAAAGAAATTTACTATTCACATTATTCTGTTTGTTAAAATTTATGATAAAAATTACATCTGTTACTTTATTTAATTATGCATCTATTTAATTCCTGGCAATAGAACAAGGGAATCTGAAAATAGCCATATCAAACCCATGTGAGGTGTAATTAGTTGGCTGCACCAAATAAAAATAAAATATGGAAAACAAAATTTTTCCTTTATATATAGTTAAAAATCAATTTCTGTTGCAGAAATTAGGATCTAAATATAGTTGTTACACAGACTGTGATGGTGAATGTTCTAGAGGTACCAAAAATCAAGGTATAAGTAGTTGTGCTTGAATTTAATATTCATGTCCAGAAAACGAACAAAAGTAGATGGTCAGGTCTAAGTGTTCTAAATCTGTGAGTTCTTAGTGCAGTCCTGCTTGGGGATTTTACGTGACATTTGCAGTTATCATAGAACTGGGAGCTGTGACTACAAATAGTGGTATTACTCCATATTAGGTACTCTGAATGGTAGTGTTTGTGCAGGCAATAGGAAGTTAGCTTGATACTTAATGTTTCCTTATTTCAATTTTAAAAAGTATGATGGGAGAATCTCTGACATTAGCTTAGCCTTCTTGCATTTACCTGGCCAGAGGTTGGAAGTAACGTGGAGGTCAGCTGTGATAACATGGCAGTGATTAAATCTATTGGCAATGTGTTAGTTCTGTGATATGACACTGATAATAAGGAGGGGGGGGTGGCATGATGTGCAACCCACTTAGCCAGTCGTGGCTCATTCTTTGCTGTTGTATGGGAGCTGCTGAGTCACAGCCTGAACCTCTGATTGATCACCTGAGGCGAGCCATAAGTCAGCCACAGGAGCACAGGTGAAGGCAATTCACTGTGCTGCTGGAAGGTGGAGCCTGGCTTCAGCCCTCTTAGACCTATTTAAGAGCTGGCTACTGGGGGGAAGGATCTTGGTTGGAGATTCCCTCTTCTGGTGATTTTTGTGGGTGAACATATGGGTAAGTTCTCCATTTATTCTCTCTTGTTATCTTAGTCTACTTTGCCTATCTATCTTGTTCTTTTTTTGTGATTACAGCATCTTAATATCCATTGATTATACAGCTGTCTTCCTATCAACTCTATTTCCTAAAAACTGAGGCAGATGGCTGTTGGCCTCTTGGCTCTGCAAAGTGAGGGGATGGAGAGACAAAAATTAGGCTCACTTCTCACCTGGTATGGCTTTTCTTTTGAGTGATAGACAGAATATCTCTGTGAGATGTAAGAATTTGGAAAAGAGTCTCAGCACAAAAGTAAGCGAAGTCGTTCTTCTGAAAAAAGTTGTACATGTCAAGAAATAGATCAGTAGTTTCATAACACCAATGTGCAGCCATCTCCATCCCAAGAAGAAGTCTTCCTCAGTATATCCTGATTCTTGGCAAGATCTCAATGACGAGGAAGCAATAAATGGGAAAGAGACCCTTATGCTTAGCCCTTGTTAAAAGCATTTATATTTTCCTAGCTCGTATATATCCCTTATGGGAGAGATCATCTGTTGTACCACTTACTAGATTTTTATTTGCGCTGATATGGTGTTGTGTTCTCATTTAATACCAGGGTATACATTGGCTAATTTATCTTTCTTATTTGGTCTCATGAAATTTAAGTGACTAGAAGTCACTAGATAGTTTTATGTGGGAGCTTGCCTACAGGGGAATGTTTTCTTCATGGTAATGTCAGTTACTTTACTTTGGAATGACCTAATTCCCTCAAGATCTATAGAATGATTCAGGAAGTACTGTTGATGAAGTATTTCAGTAAAAGTACTTTCAGGCTTTTGCTAGAGATCATCAGGGGAGTTCTGAACTAAGATATTGTGCTGTGATCTTAGCCAAGATCTTGTGGCAGGTCAATAGTATGAAATGCCTAGGATTGGGAATGTTCAGTCTACTAATAATGTATGAAACAGCAGAACTGGTAAGTATTTGTTTTTGAATATTATGAATAATCACTTTTCCTGCTTACAGCTATTGTTGAGTTACTTTCACAAAGTGCAACTTGACATAAGTAGATATGTGAGTCAATAATCAAATTCCAATAAAAAATAAAAATTTGATTTGTCACGGTAAAAATAGGGACTATTGGCAGTTGTATGGGAGCTGCTGAGTCAGCCTGAACCTCTGATTGATCACCTGAGGCGAGCCATGAGTCAGCCAGAGGAGCACAGGTGAAGGCAATTCACTGTGCTGCTGGAAGGGGTGGAGCCTGGCTGCACCCTCCTAGACCTATTTAAGAGCTGGCTACCAGTGGGGAAGGATCTCTTCTGCAGATCTGCTCTGCTGGAGTTTTGTGAGTGAGCCCAGGATAGGGGTAAGCTTTCTGTTTGCTCTCTTTTGTTATTGTAGTCTGCTTTGCCTAACTCTCTTGTTTATTTCATAATTATAGCATCTTAATATTCACTGATATATAGCAGTCCAGTTGAAAGCTATCATGACAGCACAAATTTTATACTTCACTAACCTTAGTCCTCGTTACAGTAAGCCTGGTTCCTTTTCCTGCTGCAGCACTACATTTGTCACACCTAATTTTAAAAAGTCACCACAGAAAAATGCCTTGCAAATCAAGAGCTAACCTGTACTTTAAATTCATGTCAAAGTATTGTCACAGAAAATACTAAAATGTGAATCAAATGCATTGCTTATAGGAATCTTCCAACTATGAAAAGGCATGTTTTTAATGCTACAACATTTAAGGTGGTGTCTTCCTTTCACATGTGAGGCCTATCAAAAAAGATAGGGAGAAATGTGTAATCTTGATCACACTGACAAATTATTGCAGTTTCATTTCGTTTTTCTTTATTTTGCTTTCCCTCAGCTCCTAAGAAAATTAAAAGGTAATGCTGTGTGCAAAAACTTCTTAAAATCTGTCTGTTTTAATAGTCCAAGTCAGAGCTGCTTTATCTTTTATATTCAGAAGAAATACCTTTGACATTTTCAGTCCCTCACAGTGTCACGTGGACAACATCAAAGCATATTTTCCTGGACTTCTCTCAGTTCTCTAAGGAAGAACCTTCTCAACCTTCATTTGCATAGATCAGCATCACATTGTGCAGTGTAGAAGTGTATTTGTAGATGCTACCACTGTTCTCAAAATTAACGACTGCATTGCTTTAAAGCTCTGCAATCATTCTGTTGCACCTTTTCAAAAATGTGATTGCAGTTGTCCATGTAGTCTCAGAAAGCTTTGACAAACAACTTTCTGCCATGATGCGCAGTAGTTGGCAAATCATAAAGGCTGGACTACCTGTCAGCTTCCACAATTAGATAGGTATCTAAGAAATGGAGCAAGCAACAGGTGTAGTACTAAATCTAAGCAGCCATCCACTTTGACTGTTGAAAGATGTTGCAGAAACTGAACAGTTTTATTTTTTTTAATTTTTTTGTGACTGTTCCAATGCTGTCACAGCTGTTCATGCCAAAATTTGTTGTTTGCCCATAACAAAGTACTTGAAGGCAGTCCACCCACTCATACTGCACTGATGCAGAATGTTTCTGGGCAGCATTGTGGTTTAATTGCTGGCAGCGAATGCTCCAAAAAACAGAGTCTTTAGCAAATTCTGGAGTCACATGAATGAAAATTGGCAGTCTATTTGCATGATTGTGCCTGAGGTAGCAAATAATCTTTGATGATGTTATGACAGTGGGCTGAAAAAAACTAAAGAAGTTCTCCTGAAGTCTACTTTGTAATTCAGATTTATTGTGGGACTAGGAGGTTGCCAGTGATACATTGAGTGCAACAGTTTAGTTTGCTGTCAACAATACAAGAAAAGTTTTGAAAATTGTAATAAAAATATAAATGGTGCCTTTTGATTTTGTAATTCTGTCCTGAAGTTTTATGAGGAGTAGCTGAGGGAGCTGGTATTGTTTACTCTGGAAAAGAGGATGCTCGGGGAAATGTTATTACTCTCTACAACTGCCTGAAAGGAGATTGTAGTGAGGTGGAGAATTGGCCTCTTCTCCTGGTTAACAGTGACAGGACAAGAGGTAATGGCCTTAAGTCGCACCATGGGAGGTCCAGGTTGGATATTTGGAAAAGTTTCTTCTCAGGAAAAAGTGGTGAAGCATTGGAACAGGCTGCCCGGTGAGGTGGTGGAGTCACCATCCTTGGAGGTGTTCAAGAAACATGTAGATGTGTTGCTCTGGGACGTGGTTTAGGTTTAGCATGGTGGTGTCGTGCTGGTAGTTGGACAAGATGATCCTAGAGGTCTTTTCCAACCTTAAGGATTCTATCATTATATTATTCATTCTTGAGATTTTCAAATTGGGTTAAGGACCATGTGTATACACAAGTAACAGAACAGAAAGAGAAAACAGTATGTTGTAGAGAAAGTGGTATTTAGTGGAAGTGAGTTGAAGCATAACCATATGACATCTACTATGCCAATGAGATACTGTAATCATTAAATTTATCCTTTTTTTCCCCCCAGTTATTATAAAGGATTTCTGCAAACTAATTATTCTGCTACACAGCATTTCTTGTCTTTGCATATCTCTATTTGTATGGTTTAAAAGTAAGCCATGTTCAAAATGTTAAATCCAGTCATCTATTGATGCTACTGAGAAAGGGGAAAAGAGCAGTGCATTAGAGAAGAATACAAGAGACAAAGCTGCAAGAAACAAAAAATGAATGCCTAGCAATGGAACGTGAGAGACTGCTGAGGAGGTGAACACGGCCTCATTTGGAATTGCTATTTTCAAATTAGAAAATATGAATGGAATTACAATAGATAATGTGTGTCCAAGTATCTTCAGCAGGAAGAGTTACAGAAATAGGGACATTGTTACCAAAAAGGTACTGTAAAAGAACAGAAAAATCTGGAGAGGTATCTTCTCTTTATCCCTATTAAGATTTGGTAGAACATACGTATTTGAGAGAATATGCAGGTTTTTTTTTATAAGGAAAAAATTGATCACTTTCAAAAGCAGTGTGTGTTTGGCACTGTCTTGAATCCTGTCCCTTGTTGTTAAAACTTGTATCAAAATTTATCCCAAAAAAAGAAATTATGCTACCTTTGTAGAACTTGATACTGAAATTGTCAGAGAGCACATGAGGATAAACACAAACCAGTGGGTTGATTCTGGAGGGCCTTTCTTATGCTCCCAATTACTAAATCCAACAGTGCAGTGGGAGATCATTTCCAGAGGCTAAAAGCAAGGGTTGGGGAGGAGAACTGTAAGAGAAGACAAGACAATTTCTTTTCTGGAGACCTTCATTTAATCACATTATGAAATAATTTAGTATGAAAACATGGTTTCACACCTCCTATTGCACTACTCATTGGAGCTTGAATAGAGTTAAAGCAATTTGATGGCTGCCAAAAAGAGAGAAAATATGACCATATACTGGAACAACTTCAGTGCTCTTATCCAGACAACACTGTGAAGGCAAATAAAGTGAACATCTGTTATATTTAACTTAAAAAAAAAAAAAAAAAGAAAATTTCACACAAACTCGCACCATGTGCATGCATATACATAAGTGAACTTTAACTCATCTCACTGAAGTGAATTCACAAGGTATTTTAATCCTAATTCATTTCTAAATTTTAAAAATTTAATTGCAACATTGAGAAAAGCATATGTGGATTTCCTTCATTTGAATATTTGAAGGTGTACAGAAGGAAAACATGGGTGAGAAGCACATTCATTGTCTTGTATTTTTTTAAAAACTCCTTGGACATCTACAATTTATGCAAAATACTTTATTTCACAGGGGTACCTGGAGTGCTTTTCATATCACACTGAGTAAAACAACATGTAAGAAACTCTGAAAGAAAAGATTATAGACTTCTCTGTGCTCTTTTACTTATTAAATTGGGTAAGGGTGATTTTAAAAGTAGACTTGTCATTCACCAGAAAGGTATTTTTATGGCTGCACACTAGAGGTTTGATATTTTTTTAGGAAATTCTACTATTGTGGTGTTTGCATGTCACTTTTAACACAGCAATTCAGGTATCTTTGT